GTCTTTGGTAATACAGACAATCTCAAGTCCCTATAGTAAGAAAATCTTTGGTTCGACCTATTTAGCAGCTGGTGATGTTTTACTTTTTTCTATTACTGCCTCCCACAGGACAAACTGTGCATTGCACCCACAATTGTTTGGTGTGATACGATTCCAAATTTAGGGGGCCAGAGGGGGGATCAAGCTTGTTGACACGGGGGCACTTTGTAAATGTTATAAACTAACCTCAAGAAACATAACATAAAAATCTAAAACTGCTAGGGATGGGTGATACCCCTTTTTTTGTTTTTGATACGATACCGATACTTTTAAAAGCCAGTATCGTCGATATTGATACCGATACAATACTTCTAAACTGAACTTTTAAATTTTGAAATGTATTAAATTATTAAATTTCTAAGGATAAAATGGGTAATGATATCCACTTAATTTTATATTTGAAACGCATTTTAACATTCAATACGCCGTAATTGCAACTTATTAGGTTATATTTTTGTTTACACATGGTTAAAATATGTTAACTGTTGTGTTAACCACGGAAATCTACAAATACTATAGTTGAACTACAGTCACTTTAGTAAAACCATGCTTCATTATCATAAGGGACTGCAAGTGACAGGCTGTTGCATGCATAAAATGCAACCTTTTTTTATTCTGACAGTGATTTATACTAACATTAAAGAATAGAACATGATCAATATGAATTTTTAACGTTCAGTTTAAATAAATGTAATTGCACAAACTATGTAGGCTACAATTATTTCAGTTTATTTATTGTGAAATAACTCAAACATATGTTTGAAAAAACAATCAAAACAATCAAAAATGTTTTCCTGTCCTCTGATAAGCATTGTTTTGTTTCGCGAAACCCTACCATCGACAGACTGTCAACCAATCAGCATCAAATGGAACACAGGAAAATCTGCCCACAGAGGCAACTCAACACAAGTACAATAATCTCCTAGTTCCTGCTGAACTGGTGCAAATCTTAGTAAGCAACCAAACTAAGGTTAAATTGTTGTAAAATTTTGTCCAAAATTGCCTCAGATGGTCTTTGGACTGAGCCACACAGAAATGACTAAACAAATGTTTGATATTTGCTATGATTTTTGAGAAATACCCTTCTGAAGTACCCTTTGGCACACTGTGAAAAGTGGCAAACACCTAACCAGGAGGTTGTGGGCTGAACTGCCGTGTGGTGCGATCTCAGATCACAAGACGTTCTGAGTACTCATTATCACCAACGATGTGTCCTAAGAAGTTTACAGACAGCGGCAGTTAGATTTCAGAAGATAACGAGTTTTTTTGTTTGTTTGTTTGTTTTTTTACCAAAACGCTTTTAACTTTTGACCATTTGTCAATTTTGGTAATTTTGCTTATCTGCCATATTTGAATAGGTTTTTTGCTAGTATTCCTACAATCTTCAATCCAATTTTGTTGAAATCAGAACAGATTATCTTTAGACAAAGCCGTACAAAAGGACTTTTTTTATATTCATTACTGTTACTATCAAACACCTTTCTGAAGTTGACCGGCTCTGTATTTTGTAACAGTAAACTGTGCTAGCAGCTATGTTAGCTTAGCATGCTAACTAATGCTAATCCCATTTTAGCTGAGCACCGCCATACCTGTAAACCCTCCCGTTTTTCCCGGGATTCTCTCGTATTTTACCATTCTATCCCGCTATCATCCCGTTTAAATATTTTCCCGTATTTCTCCCATATTTTTTATCTTTCTATTAAAAAATCCCACTGGGCGTATTTTACATGTTTGCTACATTCGCCTCCGGTAAAACTCTCGTAATTTGTATGGCCCAAACCTCATTATACGAATAATCACTTCAACAAATTCAAGGTTGCCCAGTTGCCAGATCTTGTATGAAACGCATCCTTCTCACACAATTGACACATACAAATTTCAACCCATTTATCCTCTCAACTTGGCAACCTACAACAGTGATGAGTACCCCGCGTGAAAGGATCACTGGTAGAAATGGGACGGGAGGAGAAGACTCAGGTGGTGCTCCGGTGAAAAAAAAAGCAAATATACGTGGGGAAGTCGTGGCCTAATGGTTAGAGAGTCGGACTCATAACCCAAAGGTTGTGGGTTCGAGTCTCGTACCGGCAGGGATTGTAGGTGGGGGGAGTGAATGTACAGCGCTCTCTCTCACCTTCAATACCACGACTGAGGTGCCCTTGAGCAAGGCACCGAACCCCAACTGCTCCCTGGGCGCCGCAGCATAAATGGCTGCCCACTGCTCCGGGTGTGTGTTCACGGTGTGTGTGTGTTCACTGCTGTGTGTGTGCACTTTGGATGGGTAAATGCAGAGCACTAATTCCGAGTATGGGTCACCATACTTGGCCACGTCACGTCACTTTCACTTTCACTTTCAAATTGAGATATAGCTTACATTTCAAAAGGCTATGGTTTAATTGATTAAATATGAGCGCTGCAAGTTGCAAAATCAGGTGCTGCACTGCTTTGTTTACTGCGGGGAATACCGGGGAAATGGCTATATTCCTGGCGAAAAGCGAAAGAATGAAGAGAGAATGAATTTGCATTTTTCAATAAGCCCTTCTTGCTTTTTGTTTTAGCCCAAAGCCAAAAACGACCCTTATTTTTACGCAGAAAACACGCAGTTTGATATACACGCGATTTAAATAATTGTTTGATAATAATTGTTTAAATTAATATAATAATAATATAATAATTGATACTTTTGACCCAAATGTTGACAGGTATGGCACCGCTTAAGCACTCTTTGTTTTTCAACAGCAGAGCAACTGCATATTAAGTGCTTACCACAGGTCGAGAGAAATGGTCTTCAGCCAAGCCCAGATCCACTGCTCGTTCTGAACTTTGAGTTTTGGATTCTGAGGAAAAGATCTCCGACCTCACCTCTGTGGACACATGATATTGATTCAGATCACACACTGATCTTTCCTTGAGCAAGAACTCTTGTTTCTCAGTGGACATTACATCTCTACTAGCTACTAAGTCTATGTGACATGGTATGCCTTCATGTAATCAATAACATAAGGAATGTACAAACAGTGGTTAAGTGTGTTTGAGTTGTACAACTTAACAATAATTAACTAACTCTAAAAAGTCCAGTTAATTGTAACATGTTTATTGATTTTCATGCTAAATACACACATATTTTGTAATGAGGATCAGGCAGCAAAATTCACAAAGAAAAAGTATTACACAAGCCAAAAAGTGGCAACAAGAATGTGGTGCAGTCTGTTAAAGAGTGATATAAGAGAATGTAGAGAAAAGTGGTATTTATTTGACAGAGTCTAGATTTGTAGGTCATTACTTAGTATGCACTATGCACTAATACCATAGTAACCCAAAGTACTGTACTTTACATGTATAAAAGAGACCTTACTCAATGAAGAATTTTTACCTTCATCAGGAACTGTAGCATAAGTATGTGAACTGCATGCAGTGTGTAATGTTTTATTCCTCCAAATAAATATTACAGGCTGAAAACTGAAAAACCACTAAAATGTCAACTGGTTCCACAAGATTGAAATCATCCTAATAAAGTGTGGTCTGCTAGAAGCTGGCATCTGCCTCAAAACATTAAGTCAGCAATAAATTAACAAAGTAAACACAACAAGCTAACAAAAAAAACTAACTAAAAAAGCTAATTACACCAGGAGGCGATGGTTCTATTATATATATATATATATATATATATATGCATATAAGATTCTGTTTGGACTGACCTGCATAGACGTCACAGCACAGCATGTTGTCAAATACACCTGCTATAGAGAATGTCAAATGTGCCAACTGATGAGGGAGACTGAGTCTTTGTGTCTTTTTGTAAATGTGCATATTTGCTGTTCAGTCCAGGAAGTGATACAACAGTCTCATCTAGTTCCAGTTCACTGTTCTCTCTAACAGTCTCACATCCCTGTACACCTGATTGTCTCAAAGGCATACACATGCATCTTGTCATTCTTTTACATTTTCTGAATAAAATATGAGTGGTGCTTAACCATGCAAAACATGCTGTATTATGCAACATGTTAGGGTATTATGGGTGGTTGTTTGCCACAACTTTGCTATGTAGTATCTAGTTTGCTATATAGTGGGTGGTCTTAGTGCTTGCTAGGTGGTTGCATACTGACACTTCACTCGTAAAAGTAAAGGTTCCAAAAGGGTTTTTTTTGCAGTGATGCCACAGAAGAACAATTTTGGTTCCAAAAAGAACATTTAAGTGAACAGTTCTTAAAAAAAACATTTTCTTAGTGTGAAGAACATTTTAAGAACCTTTTGTTTAGCGGAAAGCTTACATGAATGTTAAAGGTTCTTCATGGGACCATCAATGCCAATAAAGAACCTTTATTTTTAAGAGCGTACTGAGTCTCTTGTGATATTCTGGTCTTTCTGTCTCAGGGGCCGTTCATACCAAGGATAATAACTACAACTATACAATCTTTCTAATTCTGTGAGAATTAGAATCCATGCGACAACCATAACAATAAAGACAAAGAAAGGATATCACTGAAATCACTTTCAGAACATTTTTTTTCCAACTAAAAGAAGCTAATGTGCAGCAATTTAGATAAGGTATTTGAATTGGAACTACTTTAGCCATGCATATATTTCAATTTACAACTTTACATCATGTGATTTACAAATTATCTCATTCATAAGAAATATTTTTCCCTGTAAAAAAAAAAAAAAAACATATTTATTGGCCTGTCCTGTACCTTCAGGAGAGGATTAGTACATATTTATATATTTAATAAAAGTTGACACACCATGTTTTGGAGAATCCTTCCGCTCAGTGGTGCTGTCGATCTGTCTCCTGTCAAACGGGTTGACATGACCCTGACGAAAAATAATTGTTTGATAATAATTGTTTAAATTAATATAATAATAATATAATAATTGATACTTTTGACCCAAATGTTGACAGGTATGGCACCGCTTAAGCACTCTTTGTTTTTCAACAGCAGAGCAACTGCATATTAAGTGCTTACCACAGGTCGAGAGAAATGGTCTTCAGCCAAGCCCAGATCCACTGCTCGTTCTGAACTTTGAGTTTTGGATTCTGAGGAAAAGATCTCCGACCTCACCTCTGTGGACACATGATATTGATTCAGATCACACACTGATCTTTCCTTGAGCAAGAACTCTTGTTTCTCAGTGGACATTACATCTCTACTAGCTACTAAGTCTATGTGACATGGTATGCCTTCATGTAATCAATAACATAAGGAATGTACAAACAGTGGTTAAGTGTGTTTGAGTTGTACAACTTAACAATAATTAACTAACTCTAAAAAGTCCAGTTAATTGTAACATGTTTATTGATTTTCATGCTAAATACACACATATTTTGTAATGAGGATCAGGCAGCAAAATTCACAAAGAAAAAGTATTACACAAGCCAAAAAGTGGCAACAAGAATGTGGTGCAGTCTGTTAAAGAGTGATATAAGAGAATGTAGAGAAAAGTGGTATTTATTTGACAGAGTCTAGATTTGTAGGTCATTACTTAGTATGCACTATGCACTAATACCATAGTAACCCAAAGTACTGTACTTTACATGTATAAAAGAGACCTTACTCAATGAAGAATTTTTACCTTCATCAGGAACTGTAGCATAAGTATGTGAACTGCATGCAGTGTGTAATGTTTTATTCCTCCAAATAAATATTATACACTAGGGATGCAAAAATACAGTTAGTCCATGGTTCAATACGTACCTCGGTTTTTAACCACGGTTTTAAGTTTGGTTTGGTTCTGATAGCTTGGCACATTAGAGGTTTTTTTTTTTTTTTTGCAACAAATTAAAAGC